GGGGATGGCTGGAGTAAGAACATGCAAGGGAGGGGATGGGCCTGATGGTGGGAGGTGGGCATGAGTGAGGGGAGGGGCTTACATTCCTTGGTCTTTATCGTCTTTGCTTAATTTACTATGAAAAGTCCGACGGTGGCTCCCCTTGTGCAAATGTTCTGCAGTTCCACTCCTCCTGCTAGACATTAATTTTCAGTGTCAGAGCTGCCTAGGCACGTATAAGAAATATGGACTCCTGGACCCCCTTTGGGTCTCATCAGAGTCAATGGAGTGGGCTTGGGCATCTACAAGGTAATGTGCTCTTGAGTGGTGGGCTTTGTCCTCATCCAAATTATTTTTATTTTTTGCAATATTTAAAAAAAAATCACTTGGTGGGGGGGGCAATGGGAGGAGTTGGGGAAAAGAGATGGATTACGTCATTTCTTCCTCCATCTCTTCTCCCCAACTCCTCCCACCCTTCCAGGTGAGGTTTTTTTTTCTTAAAGCTGTATTTATTTTTATTTTATGGGTATGAGCATTTTGCCTACATGCATGTCAGAGCACCATGTGCATGCAATGCCCTTGGGGCCAGGAGAAGGCATTAGATTCCCTGAAATTGGAGTTGGAAACACTTGTGAGCTATGGGTAGTGGGAACTGAAGCCAGGGCTGTCGGAAGAACAGAAAGTTCTCTCAACTATTAATCCACCTCTACACAAGGTTTTAGACTCACATCTACGAGAGAACGGGTGAGGTCTACCATGTTTCTCATGCATCCTCCAAACCAGGATGAGACACTCATTAAGTAGTTCTAGGTGGGTAAATGAATGAGAGGATTCCAAGACAGAAAAATGTTCTAACTTAGACGAAGGCAGAGAGGAAGGGGGCTATAGTCCCCTTCTGTATTTGGTCATGAACTTTCCTTGGACAAATGTGCCATTTGTAATAGGGCCAATGGGCTCCCCACAAGTTCTTCCTGCCTTCATCATCCATAGCACCAGAAATCTGTGTCCACCCCACCCCTACATCCTAGCTCCCAGATAGGGGTAGATAATTGAGATAAAAATTGATTACAAACTGAGAGATTGGTTGTCAGTTTTAATAGGAGGGGCAAGTCAAACAGTTTAGAGAAACGTATAAAAAGACCTTGCTAACTTCTTGTTGGAACAGGTTATGGGTTGTGCATAGCACATACATATTAAAAAAAATAGAAGCATCACATTTCACAAGCACATGACTGAACAGCTTCTGGATTCCCTCCCCCTGCCCTCAAGCTTGGGGACAGGTCTGCACCAGGACCCAGCCCGAGGTCCCTAACAATGAAACAAAGAGAACTGTGTCTGAGGCTGGGCTTTCAGTAGTTCATGAGGTATACAAACATGGCTCCATGTTGGCTATCTACATGCTGCCCTAGAGTCAGGGTCTGGTTGGGGGTAGCCACTCTCCTTCTGCTCCGTGAAGAGGCTCCATTCACTCCAATGTAAACACAGCCTGGAGTATTCCTGTTGGTTCTAGCCTTGTCCCAACATTTCTATCTTTGGTGCTTTTTCAGGGAAGTGACATGAATGGATGGTTCATTGTGGAGAGGGAAGGTAGGATTAACTCATAGAAGTCACTATGAGGAGGACTTGTCACCTGTTCTGTGACAAGTGGCTTGGAGTTTTTCTTAAGGGAAAACGTAAGGGTAGAAAGTTGAAGAGTTTTCTAGCTTAGTTCTATACAAAAAAAGGCCAGAAGGGAATCTCAGCAGAGATGCTATGCTGGAGACTTAGGGCCAGCAACCACATATGGTAACTCTGTTTGCCCGGGCAACCACAGCAGTAGTGACAAAGGCAAGAGGCATCATGGACTCTTCAATGTCCTTCCTTCCGCAGAACTCACACGGAGTGCTAACCTGGAGAATCTGTGGTCTTAGGGCAGGAGAAGGGGCTGGAGACCACATGAGAAGAATGCCAAACTTCACAGACTAGGGCTGGGGACAAGATCAGAGTTCAGGCCTGGGCTGTTGATTTAGAGATAGATTTACATGTCTAAAAAAGAAGACAGGTTCTATTGATTCAGATGACAAGAAAAAAACACCCATTCTTCTTAAACCATAATCTTGGTTGTGACCAAGGGCTTGGAGCAATGTGTGAAGAGAAGTTTGTCTGTTGGAGGAACTGTGGGATGTGATAGAGCAGAAGTCTGAAAGGGTAATGGCAGGGTATTAATTATTAGATCGCCTACTGTCTTCCAAGGGGAAGTTAAAAAAAGGTATTGGAATCAAAGAGGTGGTACAAGGCTGTGGGACAGTGAAATGTTTTGCCTGCATGTCTGTGCAGTGCCCTTGGAGCCAAGGGAGACAGGGTGTTGCATGTTAGAGAGTTAAAGATGGCTGTGGCCATCCTGTGGGTACTGGGAACTGAACCCAGGTCCTCTGGAAGAGCAGCAAGTGCTCTTAACCACTGTCTCACCAGCCCTGCCCCCATCAGTTTCTAGAAAGCGCATTGGTGAGAGGATTAGAAACAACAGCTTCAAAGAAGGCAGGTGACCAGGTAGGAATAACACTCCACCCTGTGCACAGTAGCAGGAAAGAAGGGATCGGCAACACCTTTCACTGATTGTGTTCTGCTCCTTAACTTGCCTGTGATTGGGTTGAACTTGGGTGAAGTCCAAGTCAATTCAGGTCAAAGAGAAACCTCATAAGAGAATTTCTTTACATGAGAAAAAGTTGAAATCATCAGCCACGCATTAAACTGATAAAGCAAAATCCTGGGGCCAGCTAGAGACCCCAGCTTCTCATGACTGATACCAATCATAGGAAATCCTTATGCCAGTATGGCTCCCAGGCAGCTAGCTGAACACCGGGCCTGCTCCACCCCAGGGTCCTGTATCTCCTCCTTCTTACCCCGACCATGAAAGGTGGAAGTGCGCAATTGATAAAACTCCTTCTTAGGATTTGAGCAGCTTCATGAGCCTCAAAAAAGAAGTGGGGAAGATCTAGCAATCCTTCCAGAGTACGTTGGCTCAAGGCATGTAGGCTTAAAGGTCTAGAAAGGAAGACAGGAAGGGAGGGAAGGAGGAAGGGAGGCTGGTGGTTGATTGTCTTGAGGCTTAAAACATTTTCTCCTATCCTTCTCGCAGACCACAGCCCCAGCCATCCTGGCCTTACAGTTCCATCAGGAGTGAACACACTTGAAATTCCAAGTGACCCCATTTCTGACAAACCCTGTAATGAGGTTGGTGGCTCTGGCAAAGATGTCTTAAAGGAGTGTGGCTTTCTCCTTCCCAGCTGACTTGCACTCCAACATCCCAGCATTTAAGATGGACTGACTTCTCTCCCCCTTACACCTGATCCAAGACCCGGTTCTTTCTAGTTCCCATCCAAAGCTTGGGGATGTCCATGTGACTGAACTCCTACCATCTGTTAATTTATCTCACCTCGCTCTGGCCTTTCCTCCTCACCTATCATATGTCCACCCTGACACTCGCAGGGCAAAGGAGGAAGCCAGAATGGTGTTTCTCTTTTGCATTGCCAACCCCCATCTTCAGCTCAGAATCTGAGTCCAGATCGGTCTATAGAGGGGTGGATCTACGAATAGAGAGGTATGTTGAAGACAGAGGTATTTGCAACAGATGAGGGATTGTCTTGCAGGTCAGGGCTCCCAAGAGTAGCTGAGGGTGTCAGGTCATTTTGTAACATATGCTGAAAATATTTGTGCACTGATACGGCTCTCTCTGGTATCAGATTTAGGAACATTCCAAGAGTTCAGGAATCTGCAGGCTCTAGGCAGACCACATTTATAGTCCCTCGGGGAACCTCGGTTTAAAATACTCTGAAAGGACAAGAGGCATGAAGGCACTGTTGAGCAAGGAGCCATTTCAGCTTGGCTGCCTGAATCCTTGGACTAGCACGCCTCTCCTACTGTAGTGAGGAAGAGGGGCACATGACGGAGGTCACAATACCCATTCTACAGCATCCAGGTGGCATTGTGTATGTGAGATTAGGACAAGTGAGGAGGAAGTGAGGGTATCGGGTGAGAACTTGGGCAAGTTTCCTGGACATAGTTGGAGAGGGATCACCATGGCGAGTCCAAAGCCTCTGGACTTCCTTCATGCCCTAATTTGCACACTGCCCTCCCTTGCCAGGGAGGTTGCCATTATTAGGATCCTTGTCATCCGAGGTTAAAATAAGACCTGGTTCAAAGTGAGGAAACGCTATGGGCAGGCAGCCTGGTGCTGGCCTGTTCTTAGAGCCACACACGGCTCAAAGACCTTCAGTCAGAACGGCTCTCTACAGAACATCCAGTCCCTCTGCCTCCACAGATCTCCCCAATGGCCATAGACACTGTTCTATCACTTTTTTTCCAAGGAGGGGACCCCCTTCTCTCCCAGATTCCTTAACAGTGCATCATAGTGTTCTCAGAAGCCTGGTGGGCATGGAGTTCAGGGTGTCAGGTTATTTTTTTTTCTAGTTTGCAATTGGGTGTTACACCCTCACTTCCTCCCTACACATAAAAGACAGCCGCCCGCTGTCACTCAAATAACTGGTGCAGTTAATGCCTCAGGATGGATGGATGATCAGAACAAGGCAGAATGAGGCACACCTCAATCCTGCTGACTTGACAAGTGATGCTCTGGTAGGCAGGTTCTTGCAGTGACAATGTCAGGAGAAAGAAAATTTTGAAACGCCTTTGCTCTGAGGATCTATACAAAGACGTATGGGTATGCATGGACACAGGCACACTCCCATCTCGGCCTTTCCTTATGCATGGGGCCACATGTCACAAGTGTCATCTGTACTGTCTCTCCTTAGGTGAGGTCAAAGTGCATGATCCACTGGCATTCTAAGATGTCAAGTGCAACCCTTCAGTCGTGTGGGTTACATGCCATGCAGTCCAGTGGCCAAGGAAACCAACTCCAGTCTCTTGAGGCACAAGATAAGCCAGACTCGGAAGTCACAGGATACGAGCATAATTGTTCTCTTGTGGAAAATTCCAACAGAAAAGATGCAGCTGTCACTTTGTGAGCCTTCATCCATGGGTCCTTATATCCTGGGGAGGAAGTGAGTGACAGTCATGATTGGGGACACCTTGCTGCCCCGCTTTACCCGGCCATATTTGCTCAGTGCAATGTAGGTCCCTCTGTACAGGTCTGACTCGTAAGCGTTGTAATTGTTTGGGAGGAGGGTTTCTCTGAACTTGCATTCCTCTTGGAAGCTGGGCTGTGAAGATGAACAGACAGCAGAGACCCAGTGATAATTAAGAAGTGCCAAAACACCAGCTGAGCCACACAGAGGAGGCCCTTCCTCTGTGTTTCCGTCCCTTCCCTTTGTAAAGACACTACCACGGGGCTTACACTGCAGGGGGAGAAACGTGAGAGGTTAAAATGGAGGCACTTACAGTTCCTCTCATTTGCCCTCCTACACCAGGAGGAAACCAAGGCCAGGAACACAGAGGGATGACATTCTGAGCCCGTGGGAGATTGGAGCAGACCTCCAGACTTCCAGGTAGGGGTGCTTTCTACCCAGTTTTCAGGTGAGAATGTGTTCTGTGCAGAGCAGGGAGCAGGGAGGGTGACACTGAGCCATGTTAACCCTATCGTGAGAGCAGAACGGAGGCCCAGGGCTCCCCTCAGTGACTTTTCTATTTCCCCGGTAGTGTGAGCTTGGACGGTCTCCTCCACTCAGAGCCTCAGTTCTCCTTCATGCAAATGGTGTGGTACCAGGGAGCTGCTGGGGTAGTGGGTGGAGGAGCAGAGAGACAAATGAGCTCTTGAGTCCTTTCCAGTATTGTCTCTTTCCACCCATAGTTCTTCTGTCTAAAGTCTGCAGTCCCTTAAAGAAAAAAAGGCTCATTCTCAGTTTTGACTTTGAGCCCAAAAAGTGAGTGGAGCTTCATAGTCTACACTATTCTCTGGGGTCACGTGGCATCTGAGATAATAGCCACTTTTACAGAGAAAAAGAACCTGGTTCCCAAGGGAATTAGGCAGAGACCTATAGAGGAAGTTGCTTTGTGTCTCCCTCTGGCTGTCATGTGGGCATAGGCATGTGCATGCATGTGCACATGCATGCGTGTATATCATACATACTAGGAACCACAGTTCAATGGTTCTATGACTTCTCCCTGGTACCAGAGGTGCCCTTGGATTTCTGAAAGAAGTCTGTTGTGGAATATTTTGATCGCACTCTGATACTCCTGAGACTGCCAATAAAGTTTACCTTGAATCAGAGGGCGGAGCTAGCTGCTAGCTGACCAGAACTAGCCATAGAGGTTTTGGAGGACCCAGGACATACAGACAGACACAGGAAGTAGTAGGGAGAGGCTTAGAAAGAGTCTCAGCCCTTTTTGGATCAAGGAAGAAGAGAGAACGGAGATCACTGGTTGCTTCTCCACCATTTTCCTGATCAGTCAGGTTTTTACCCGGATATCTGACTCCCAAGTTTTTATTGATAACAGAATAATTAGATAAATGCTTCATCTGGCAGTCCTAGTCTTTGAAAACTAGGAAAATGAAGAAATGCAGGTTAGTAGTCAGTCATCTATAACAATCAAACATAGTCATGTTAGGTATGTTTTCAAGGTCAATCAGAGATATATTTTAGATAGATAGGTGGTCTTTAAACACTTCAGAGATCTACAGAATGTGACATTTGAAATGTTTTAATAACATAAGGCTTTTTATGACAGTGAGACACATCTGCTCCTGACAGCACTAATTTATTTCAAAAAAGGATGATGGTCTTCGAAGAACCTCCATGTGGAGTTTGCTTTCATTTATGGAGAAGTTAGCCATTGGACAAAGAAACTACTTTTGCCTTGACTGCTGACAGAATGCGGTCAAAATTGGTCAAGCAGGACACATAAGAAGTCAACTGCCAACTTTGCCAGGACAAGGTAGAATAATCCTTCAAAATTCCTGCTTCACAAAATAGTCTGTCAGATATTCTAGACCTGTAGGTTGAAGATGGAGGCCCCAACATTGCAGAGGAACCTAGGGTGACTGTCCAGGCAGCCAGCTCTCTCTGTCATTTCTATAGTTTTGGAAGTTGTTTGCTCTGCACTTCCTGTTTACTCAGGTAATATTTTACCTTTCTCGGGTCTATGATGGGGTTGAAGACTAGATAGTTATAGTTTTACAGTTTTCCTTGTCACCAAATTCAAAAAAGAAACATACATAAGAGATGTAAAGTTTATGAAGTCAAGAAACATAAAAGCTTAAGTTGTTTATCTAAAAAAATGTTTTGAGCTCTAAAAAGTTATTTTTAGGATGGCAACACAAGTTAGGGTAGAAAGTGAATTAGGTACAAAACTTTGGACTCACCAAGATAGGATAGATAATGGAGTATTTTCTCTAAATTTGCCAAATACAAACAGACTGGAAATTGTGAATGTAATTCTTACCTGATAATTTTCCTTATTGTATATAGTTTTACTGTGTTAGAGTTAAAACCTTTTCTTTTTATTTAGACAAAAGGGGGAAATGTGGGATATTTTGATTGCATTCTGACACTCTTGAGACTGCCAATAAAGTTTACTTTGAATCAGAGGGTGGATCTAGTTGCTAGCTGACCCGAATTAGCCATAGAGGTTTTGGAGGACCCAGGACATATAGAGAGACACAGAAAGTAGTAGGAGAGGCTTAGAAAGAGTCTCAGCCCTTTTTGGATCAAGGAAGGAGAAAGAGCAGAGGTAACTGGTCGCTTCTCTGCTGCTTCTCTGATCAATCAGGTTTTTACCCGGATATCAGACTCCCAAGTTTTTATTGATAAAAGAATAATTAGATAAATACTTCAGAAGTCTGTACATCTAGCCTCACCAGCGATGGGGACACATAGGTCTCTCTTCATGTTGCTATAATGGGGTGGTAGAGAACCTACCATCCTACTCTAGGGCCCTTGGGCAGGTGCCTCTAACAGCATTAAACAGCACCTGAGCCCTGTGGATGTGTGCTTCTTTCCCAGTAGACTCCAACTCTTACCCCCAGACAAGTATCCCAGGGATCAATGGTCAGATTGCAGGGAGAAAGACATTTGATACGGTAACAGGTAAGGCCCAGAGACTAGGGATTCTCAGTGTTCTTTGGTGTGTGGTATTATTACTTCTATATAGAGCAATTCACAGTATCTACTAAATTATTTTTGAAAATGGAGATAACTGACGATCAGCAATTCTTTTTCTAGGAACAGATCTTGGCCTTCAATTCCCACATGTGTACAAAAGTTGGCACAACACTTTTTTAATAGCAAGAATCCCAAACGGTCAGTCTCTACTAAGAGGGGAGCAGCTGTCTCAGCTATGACCGAGCTACCCTATGGGGTGCTTTAAGCCACGAAAAGAAAACCTTTTGCACATTGACACTGGACTGTCCCAGAAACATATTACCAAGTGAAGATGCATAGTTTGAACCCATGTTCTACAGAGGATCTGGGTGCAATTCCCAGCATCCACATGGTAGCTCACAACTGTCTGTAATAACACCCTATTCTGGTCTCTGAGGGTACCAAGCACACAGGTAGTACACAGACAGACATGTATGCAGGCAAAACATTCACACACATACAATTTAAAAAGCCTTGAACCTCTGTAACGTGACTTCTTAAAGCTGCCAGTACATACACGCATGCCCAAACAGGTTATTCATGGAATGGTCCACAAGGGGCTGGTCACACAGGTTGTGTCTCAGGAGGAACTCAGAGGCATGAAGACAATGGTAGGGATGAAATAATTTAAGTTCTGTGGGAATCTTTTGTGCTTTTTCTTCCTTCTTAAATCATTTTCATGTGCTATCTACCCACATAAGTAATTTATTTAAAGTGGCAGAGGAGTACAGGGTATAAAATGGGCCAGGAAGTGGGGGGAGCAGTTTTGATCAGAAGCAGTGGTCTCTCGTGGTGATGCGGCCCCCTCCACCCACCTACTTTCCCTCTGTTCTAACTTTGGGTGTCTCCAGAGAGGAACTCGCCCAGCCGGTTTCCAGGAGAATTTATTTCTGATCTGGATAGTGGTTAAGGGAGAGGTTTTTGTGTGTTGTTAGCAAACTGGTGGGAGGAAATCAGGCCTTAGGGTGGAGAGCAGAGCAGAGGAAGGGAGAGGAGCTGAGCCATTGGATTGAGGACTATGGGCATTGCCCACATCCCATTGTCTAGAATGAGTCCGGCTAAGAACCACTGTTTTTGAAACATCTGCATCACTGTATGTGCATATACAGATGACCATGTATATCTGTGGGTTCTGTAACCCTAGAGCCAACTGAACATGGATCAAAAATATTTGGGAAAAGATTGCATCTGTATTGGACATGCATAGATTTTTTTCATTCCCTAATAAATTGTTCCCTAAAAAACCGGTACAATATCTATCTATGTAGCCTTTGGAATGTATTTAAGTGTTAAAAGTAATCAAATGATGAGTCAAAATGTCTAGAAGGATGCACTCAAGTCATATGTAGATGTTACAGCATTTTTATGAGGTACTTCTTCACCTAGAGATTTGGGGCTCCATGGGTCTCCTGGAACCAACACCCTGAGGATATCAAGGGAGGCCACACTTCTTTGCTTTCTGCTCAGTAGATATTTTTGAGAGGGACAGTGCTGGGAACGGAACCCAAGGCTTTGTGCTCTAGATCAGCTCCCAGCCACACCCCAGTCACATCTCAGCTGTGCCCATCCAATTTCGATGACCCGACTCTGTCCCAATCCCCCCACTTGTTTGTTTTGTTTTAGGTTGACTGCTTTGGCTTCCATTCTGTCCTTTCTCTCCAACCGATCTTCTATCCCTGGCCTTCCCAGAACTCCTCACAGACCTGGAGTGGGGGCTGAGAGCTCATACTCTTTAGGAGCCTCCTGCCTGCCCCTGCTTCTGCCAGCTCCCCATCCTGCAGGACATTCAGGTGGCTTGGGGGCTTGTGACATGACAGCACCACAATACAGCTCCCTGAACCCACTGATGCCTCTCCAGGCTCCAGGCTGACGGCGTTTCCACAGGACTGTGGTGGTGCTTCGTGCCACACCCCTGAGCTTTGGGTTCCCATGGCTCAGGAACACTGGTTCTCTGGCTTGGTGAGAAAGGCCCCCAGCCAAGCAAACACTGTGTTAATACATTATGACTTGAACAAATGAAAATAATTCCACCAGATCACATTTCCTGGGCCTGCCCCTCTCAAGCACCAGCATGGCAACGTCTGGAACTCTATGTAGGGCTAAGCACAGCCAAATCCATTTAAAAAGAAACAGCTTTTAACTCCCCCAGTGCAAAAGTGCTGTGCAAAGTAAAGCATCCCCGGGTGTTTGGGGTGAAGTATTTCTGGTAAAAATGGTCCCAAAAGTTGGGGGGAGGGGAGTGGTGCTACCACACCCATCCTCTTGTCTTTATGCAGAGCTAAGCCATCTCTGTCTTTAATAATCTTCATTCTGGATGTGCTTTGGACATGTGTCCCTATTACTCCCGAACACATGAGGAGATGGGAGGTTTGCATGTCACAGTGATCATATTGATTAGAAGTATGTGAACGTGGTATAACCTCTTCAAAGTGCAACACTTATTTTTCTCAATGGATAGCCACAGAACCACCTTCAGGAGGGGATCCTTGATGACTTTCTGGATTTTAAGGGGAGTGAGAATGTTGGGGTTCACTCATATATTCTGCTCCAGTCTACATCCAAGATGGCAAAAATCCAGGCTGAGAGAAGCTCAGTGACTTTGCCCGAGGTAAGTCCAGCAGCTAGAGAGTAGGACTGGGCAGCAATTGGAATGTTAGTCCCAGTCTATCCGGTCAAATGAGATTCTCCTGCAAGCTTTCGATGCATTATCTGTGGAGTCTAGAGATGGTTCTGCACACAGCTGCCACTGGTTGAGGGGACAGAGCCAGAGACTGTGAACATCTTGTGTCTCTACCTGCAAAGGGAGGCTAAAGACCAAATGCTTCTCCAGGGCACTGTGGGACAATGTTTATAACCACTCTACAGGATCCCAGATAATCTATGTGCTTAGTACAGGGGCTGCTTATGCCGTCTGCAGAGAGAGCTAACAGGCCTTACGCTCCATACCTCTTCATCTGTAAGGAGGAAGACCACTTCTAGGTAGCTTTTCTTTACCCTTATTCTCCCACCACACGTTGGTGGCTGCCTCTTCCTCCTCATCAGTCCCCTCCCCCCACCATGAGAAATGCCATTTAGAGGTTACAGCAGCTGATCTACTTGAGGGAGGAGGCAGCTCAGGGGGGCTTAAAGGGAAATAGTGTGAATGAAATCACCACCCAGCAGGAGTCTTCCTGGCTCCTGGGATCAGTTGGCAATTGTTTTTTTAGACTGTGATAACTGCTGCTGGGGGGGGGGGGGGCAGGGGGGAGGGATGTTCAGCAGCATCTGGTCCCCAGCCACACACAAAGCATCAGGTGCCCTAGCTGGGGCACTGCTGTCCAGGCAGCTCCAATCTCTAGCTGGGGTCTAGGGAGAATCTCCCACCAAGAGCACATGCTTCCAGGCTGCTGGGTATGGAAACAAGAGAGTTTCCTCTCACAGAGTTCCCCTTTCTCCCTGGCAATGGCTGTTTAGTGAGCACTCCCCACACCTTTAGAACCTGATGAGTCTGGGTGTCTCAGACTTCAGAGAAATTTGCTGCCTTGGGAGGGTCGACCCTCGGGGAGCATTTTCTCTGGTAGCCACAATTTACGCTCCAAGTCCTCCACTTCTCTTAGAACCAGAGATTTCGAGCAGAAAGTGGATGCATTTACCCTTTTTAATGACCCTCTCCCTTGCCATAAACTGAATTATTTTCTAATTGAGGAAAAAAAATCTGTTAATTACGGTGACAGAAGAGTTTCTAGAATTTGGGCTTCTGGCAGATTTGCCTGCCAAAATGCCCACCTGGAGTTTTAGACCCAGCTGTCCTGGATCTTCTGGCTGGTGGGATTCTGGGTGCCATGGGGGCTGAGGAGGAGGAGTTTTCAGGAGGACTCACTCCGTAGAAGGGGTGCCTGTTCTACCAAAGCCTCAGGTGGTCACAGGCTGCTTCCTGCCCTGCCACTGTCCCAGAGAGTGGTGCATCCGGCATCTGAGAATTCCATCTAGGCCCTGTCTTCTCCTCCTGCTGCCCTCGGGCCTAGCTTCACACCAGGCAGGTCTGACATGCTTCCTTTTTTTCCATATGCCGTAGAGTCTGGCAGCACCCACAACTACCTGCGCCTCTAAAAACATAATCTAAGACAAAACAAAAACCTGAACCCTGAACCAGACAGACTGACAGACTCCAGCCCAGTGCTGCTGAGTTTCTGAAGCTGGTCCTGGAAACCTCGCCATCTAACAGGCTCCCCCAAACGATGAGTGCACATGGGTGTCCACAGAACTGTGCTGGAGAGGAACTGATTTTAGCACACACCACAGAGCAACTTTGAGACACTTGCTCGAAAGGTTTGGAAGCCGAGAAGCTCTGACCAGCTCACTAGAGTATTTTCCAGACTTTCTTTGCTGGGAGATTTCCCCCGGAACCCAGTACTTGTCCCAGGTCTGCTCTTCCCTTCTTAACCCTTCTTCTGTCCCCCCAAGAGACAGGAGGAGCAGGCCCTACACTCTCCCATGGACTCCTCTAGTGGATCCGAGGCCCCTTCCTCTTTAGCCACTGGCTCCCCCTCCTCATCTTCCTCCTCATCTTTTTTGGTGCCAGGGATTGAACCCAGGGCCTGGTATGTACTAGGTAAGAGCTCTACCATGTAGCTAGATCCAGCTTCCTTATTTCTGCCAAAGACCTCTTGGTTTATCAACTCTCTAGAATGTTTTCCTAACACATATTTTGGAATAGGCCAAGTTGCAGGCTGAGAGCCCTGGAAGTGAGTGGGTCAGAGAAAGCCAGGGTTTTAACAAACACATAGAATGGTTGTCCTTACACCACAGGGCCCAATCTCTCAGCATTTGCCCTCCCATAGTGATCTATGGTGCAGAGGGAGGGGTGGGTCCAATGCCTGCTGGAAAGGTATGACAGAGGAGGATACTTCTGTAGACCCTGGGATCAGCGACCAGAGGACATAAAACTCAGGCTAAAGTCTCTCAAGACACTAACGAAGATGAGAGCTAGCCTCCTTCTGCAGACCTCCTGCAGCACTCCTGAAGAGTGTCTCCTGGAGGGGTGTGTCATGTGGGCAGCACACACAGGCTGACCCACAGGCCTGCCTCTCTGGGCCTCTCGAGTTCAGCCACTCAGACCCAACTGTGAGCCTGCATGACAACTTCATGTCAGAATGCACATTCTTCCCTAGCCAAGAGCTCTCTGAACTGTGGCTTCTTTAAGGACAAGGGTCCTGGCGGGTGGGGCTGGGAGAAGCCCAGGCCTGTGCAGGTGTCTCTCTGTGAAATAGAGGAAGCTTGAGCCCCAAGGTGCCTGGCTAGCAAGGGCTCCTTTCACTGCCCTTCTTTCTTCCTTTTCAAAAAGGAGTCAGCTCTCAGTGGTGTCTGTGCGCTGTTTTCAGTGGTGTGAGCTGCAGGCTTCCCCCAGCCTGGAGCTTCCCTCTCCCGAGGAACTCACCGTGGTGTACAGTCTTCCTTTACTGTTCATGGCGATGAAGAGGGTGCTTTTCACACCGAAGAGGCTCACCACACCCCGCTCCACGGTGGAAATCTCCAGCAGGCCTGACGAAGAAATGGAGAGCACACACTCGTGTTCATAGAAATGAGAGAGGAGACTCAGATCCTTCCGAGGCATCCAGTTGTCCCCCTTCTAGAGGCTCAGCCTCTCCATCACTTCTGTCCTCCATCTCTCTAACCTTATCCCTTCGCTACACCAGCCACATCCTGTCACACCCTGTAGCACACTCAGTTCCATCCCATCCTGTAGCACACTCAGCTCTGTCACACCTTATAGCACACTCAGTTCTGCATAAAAAGTTTTACATTGGAATTGGGGATCACAAGGAACATTCAAACATCTATTTAAGATTAGCTTTGAATCTGGGCTTTCAGTGAATCTGTCACTTGAGGTCATTGACTTGAGCGAAAAAGAATGGGGGTTGGAAATATAGCTCAAAATGGTAGAGTACTTGCATAGTATGCCCTGGGTCCCTGGGTTCAATCCTCAGCAACACACACACACACATACACACACACACACACACACACACACACACACACACACACACACACACACCAATCAATCAATCAATTTTGATTGTCACTGTTGAATGTCTGCTCTACATCCTCCAACTCAGGTTCACAGACAGAGCCCCACAGAGCTGGATGGCTTGTCTAGGACCCCACAGCCCGATCCTTGCCTTGGCTGGAAGACTGTCCATGCAGGCGGGGGCACCTGACATTAGAGGAAGCACAGTGAAAAGACTGTACTTCAGAATGGCACTTTTCAGACCACTTGCCCTTCCCTTTCAAAGAGGGCAGCTGTATAGAAATGTGTGGCTCTAACTGGGATAGAATATCATAACTTATCTCCATTATCAGTGCAGTTATAGCTTTTCAGGCTGACTCCAGGTCCAGGGATGGACCACTAATACTGGAGTAATTAGAACCACCAGGATGGAGTTACCTGGAATGATGGCTAAGAACACCAAGATGCCCAGGTCTGGGTCTCCTGGGCCTGCACCTCTATCTGGGTAGGGGGAGGGTGGGATGGTGCCATCTAAACATTGTCCAGCATGTTCCCCTTAGAGTGCAGCCCCACCCACCAGCGCAATGCTCCTTCGTCTTCTGACTCTGCTTGTGCCCATGCCAGCAAGCACCCCATCTGTCTTGCTAGTGACACTCACTGTAGGGGTTCTCCTCGTGCGTTCCACTGATGCGGCCGTCGGGGGGCACCTGGAGGTGGAAGCCAATGCCCCACGTTGCAGTAGAGTCTCCGCTGCCGCTTGATGCCCACCAAATAGCCACTTTCCCAATTCACACCCGAAATCTCTCCAGCTAGCCCAGCTCGGGGACCTGGACAAGAGGGTGCCCCAGCCTCTGGAGTCCAGGAGTGTGCCGTTGGCACGGGCGCCGGCAGGTGAGGGCACCACCATGCCCACTAGGACGCCTAAGAAGACGAGAGTCTGCAGCGTGCCCTGAAACACGTCCTACTCCCTGGAACATAGTGATGAACAGCCCTCTGTCCCAGGGCCATCCACCTTGCCTCTCAGGCACGTGGGTCAGAATTAATGGCCCTTAAAATACCGCCCTTCTTGTTTTTCTCCCCTCGGCATGGCGGCAGGGGCTTATTTTTGGAAGGCAGATGAAGGCTGCTGACATGAAACCAAAGCCTGCTTCAGGCACTCGGGTAGAGAGTAGAGGGACCCAGACTGAGCTGAGGCTGGTAGGGACCATGGCTTGGGGACGCTCTCTATCCAGCTTGCGGGGCTCCGTCCCGAGGTGATCCTATTTGATTTGACCTATCATTATAGTTCAGCAACCCGGCCCTCCCCTCCACCCATCATCATCCTGACGTCAGCCGGCCCAGCTCACTTACCCAGGGCTGTAACATTAACCTGCTCCTGGGCCTGGCTGCCTCCCGCAGACCCCCACCACCCTCCCCACTCCCCAGGGATTCTGAGAGGCACTGTCATTCCAACTATGAGGCAGGAATGAAGTTAGCAGGGAGCATCTCTGCGGGAGGGTGGAGCTGGCTGGGGGCCCAGGGAAGAGGGAGCAGAGGCCACCCAGGACCCAAATTGGGCAGCAGTCCTTGGCCCCACCACGCTGGCTTCCTTATTTAGAGGGCAAAGGGTAAAGAAAGATGGGAAAGGCGTGGTGGCGGGTGATGATGCTGGCCTACAAGTGACTCTCAAGACCTATTCATGGAAAGAGCTCATGGCTGAGGAGGGCCTGTTTCCCAGGACAGGGGATATAGGTGAGGGGGTTGGCTAGCAAAAACGAAGGCTGTGGAGGCAGGGAGGGATGGGCTCACCTTTTCCTGATCACAGTTCTGGCCGGTGACTTTCACCCAGAGAGTGAAAGTGGTGTCATGCCATTCTCCCGCTTCAGCTCGCCCTTGGCCTCTAATTGTTACTATTCCTCTTGGACAGTTGCAAAAGTTGAGTCCTAGAGAAGATGTGATGCTTACCACGGGCTGTAAGTGGCAGAATCGGGGCTTACAGATTCTGCACAGGTCCAAAGCCTTCTCACGGCATTGCTTATAAACAGAAGCCCAATTTTCAGAGGCTACCACGGTTTTCCTTATGTACCAAGTAGACACTGAATGACTATTTCAGCAGGACAAAATGTTTTGGGGTGTGTGGGGCATGTGTGTGTGTGTGTGTGTGTGTGTGTGTGTGTGTGTGTGTGTGTGTGTGTATGTGTGTGTGTGTGTGTGTGTGTGTGTGTGTGTGTGTGTGTGTGTGTTTGACAGTCTCATCTATCCCAAGTGGCCTCAAATTCATTGTGTAATCACGGATGACCTTGAACTTCTGAATACCCAGAACTTGTATTACAGGAATGTGCTAACAAGCCTGGTTTTCTGTGGTGCTGGGGATTGAACTCAGGAATTCATGGATGTAAACAAGCAATCAATCAACTGCAAAATGATTTTTCTGTCTAAAAAAAATTTTTACCAAATGTCTCAGAAAATTTCTGTATTTTCAGCCAACTTAAATGATTTAAAAATTTTAAATTATGTGCATGTGTGTGTCTGTGTCTGTGAGTATATGCGTGTGTGTATGGGTACCCATGGAGTCCAGAAGAGCCCTGGATACCCTAGAGCTGAAATTACAGGTGATTGTGAACTACCCAACGTGAGTGCTGGGAACCAAACTTGAGTTCTCTGCAAGAGCAGTAAGTGCTTCTAATGGCCGAGCCGCCTCTCCAGCCTGGGTAGTTAACTTTCACTAGGCTAATATTACAGTTAAAAACTACTAAAATCATTTCTATAGTTACCCTACATCCACTTTATCCTCTCAGGTATCATTTAAGTAGAACATGTCTATTACCTGAGGTTAAAAAAATTATTTTAAAAGGGTATAGAAAGGATCCTGCGTTGGTGAGTTAGCTAAGTATGAAACGGTGCTTGCAACCAAACCTCATGACCTGGGTCTGATCCCTGGGTCCCACATGGTAGGAGGAGAGGACTCTTGAAAGCTGTCCTTTTACCTATCCATGTGCACCATGGCCCATGTGGAAGTGCACACCCCCCCACACACACACACTGCTACACTAAATAAGCAGAAGGGATACTTACACATGGTTATAAATATATAAGAAGGACTCATATCTATGAGAGTGAAATAAGTTAACCGAGGCCACCTGAGGAGACAACTTGAGTTCGACATCTAGTTTCATTGTCCTGCAATCCAGTTCTTAATCTGTTGGTGGAATGCCAGTGCAGGAACTGTAAGGGGTATATCCTGAGGCGGGGATAGGGTGAGAATAGCACTAAGGATAAGGAACACAACATGGTAGGTGGCAGCTGATCCCAGATCCTGTCCTGTGTAGGTAAGACCTGGATGCCACCTCACTTACATACCAACCTCATCTGCATGCCACACTCTCAACGAAGGCTGCTGGAAGCCTAGACAAACTCCTCTGCAAGTTCCATGGCTTAGCGACATCAGTGTACCTCCCCTGTGGTCCTGAGACTCCTGCTCAGGTCTGGGGCTGAGCCTCCAGTTAATGGCTTCTGCATATTATCTGTCCCTCTCTCGCTCAGTTGACAGATGCTTGGTTATCATCTCTTTTAGATCTGCCCTAGACATGCATTCTTAGATCCCTTGAAGCTGTGTGGCCAGAGATGGAGTCTATCACATAGGTCTTCACAGAAAAAAAAAATTAAATAAATAAAGTTGGACTTTTGGAAGCATCCTTCTGCAGGATAGCAGTAACCTAGAGTAACTCCAAGTAACCCAGAGATGGAAGAATTTCGCTTTAGACTCCCAGCTTGATTTCATAGATCAAGCTTCGACATGAGCAAGAGCAGAGGCACGTTCTCACTGATGTTCAGCTTGGAATCTTGCTTTAACCACACTCCAACTACCTTGGGAGCCAGCATCCCAGTCCCTCGATGGCTGGTTCCGAGAATGCTATGGTGTGCACATAGAATGGCCTCTAAGGGCCCCTGTGTTGAACAGGCTTGGTCCCCAGCCTGTGGTGCTGATGGAAGATGGAGGGATCTTTAAGAGGTAAGGCCCAAGAGGAGGAAGTTAGGTTGTTGACGGTGTGTTCTTGAAGGGGGTATTGGGATGGCAGTCTCTTCCCACCTCCTCTCCCCTACCTTCTTCCCGGACACCATGAGGTGAACAGACCTTCTCCACTATATGTTCCCACCATATGAAGCACCACAGGTTGAAACCACAGAGACCATGAGCCAAAACAAAGCCTCCCTCCTTGAGACTGATCAGCTCAGGGATTTTGTTACAGCAACAGAAAGCTGAGCAATGCAGAGAAGTTGGTCTGGAATTAATTTCCTATAATTAGTGAGGTATTCATTAGTGAGGACAAGTCAGAATCCCTGGAGTTCTTCTTGGAACACATCCACTTTCAAAATGAAACTAAAGTATGGCAAGGCCCACACACTGCCTCCCAAATGACACAGGAGCCCGCCCCTCCTTGGGTCTACCTCATTTCCCGTTCCTTCCTGTGCAGATGTCACTGCTGTGATGACATTTTATAAAGCAATGGGCTTTGTTAGAGGGACCCCTGAGTTTAAATTCTAATGGTATGCTTTCTTGGCTGTGCGACCTTGGGTAAGTTTGGGACCTCTCTGAGCCTCATTTCTTCTCCCTTGAAAGGCGGGATGATTAGCCTGTGTGGTTTTTTTTTTTATAGCCAGTAGCATGGCACACATAAAGGGACATTGCTGAACAGCACAGCTCTCAGCGGACCGCTCTCTGAAACACATCGGAAAGCTCTCACCCAGTTAAGGAAGGGCAAACTCGAAGTGAGAAGGGCCATCTCTCCTCTCGGGGGGGGTGAGAGTGGCACATGGCCATCCAGCGCTTAGCTGCTGCCCTCCACGGCCCATGCAGTGATGGCTGTTGACACATGCAGGAGCAGGCAGTCCAGATTCCTAAAATATTCTGAAAACCAGTAATAGCTTTGGTGTTGTCCCCTGTTAAATATAAAACTTAAGTAACTCATTCTATTAAAAAGCCGCAGTCTTATTTTTACCGGGTGATGTGATGAGGCTCCAACTCTAAATGCACCTCCTGGGCCTGTCTCCATAGCAACTCCACTCTGCTCAGATAGCCACATCATTTTCCTGAAGGCTAATTAACCTGACAACTGCTAGGGCGGCTTGGTTTACCAGATTTGCACTTGACCCTTTACTCGGGGCTTAGGGACCCTTTGGATACGAAGTGATAAAGAAAAGAGTAACAGGTGGAGGAGGCCTCCCCGGACCCCTCTTTCACATAGTTGCTCTCAGTAGCCTTTGGGGGCTGTCAATCACTCTTGCTTGATGAGCCAAAACTTAGTGTGAGTGAGTGGGAAAATGTCCATGCACATCTTCTTCCATGAGTTGGGGCAGCACGAACGGTGGATGGCTTAGATTGGGGACTGGGCTACACCAACCTGTCATATCAGCTGTTCAGGGGAGCTACCTCTGCATAGCATGCTGGCTGCCCTCAAGACTCTGGTTTATTACATAGTAGGATTCCCCCCACCCAATACCAGGAGTGCCAACAAGAGAACACACAAGCTGTCCTAAGAGCCAGGCCTGTTGACTGCCTTCATTTATGCAGCTTATTTGACTCTTCACAGTTGGCTCTGAAAAAGCAGCATTTCCCTTTTCAAACGACTGGCTAGAAAATTCAGAAAACCGTCAGGGAGAAAATAAAACAGCAGTCTGTGCTTGCTGCATCTACACCCTCCGTCTTGGACTCTGGGTTTGCGCTGCTTTGGCTCAGAACCTGGGCCCCTCGTCCCTTGCTCCTCCCCTTCTGCCCAGAAAGGCACACAGCACCTGCTGTAGGTTGCTCACAGGCACCATCAGCACAGGATGGGCATGTAGAGGGGTGAGGGGTGAGGAAGGGCCCCTGTCTTAGACCTGAAAAAAGATTGACACTTAGGGCTCATGAAATTTGTGACAAGAGATGGGTCTGCTGTCCTGTGGCTGTTTCTATGGAGAACCTGTGCTTTTCAATTTCCCAGCAGAGCTCCAACAGCCCCAGGCCTCCCCCATGTAAGTGGAAGCCCCATGTAAGTTCAGAGTCTTCACCCAAATCCCCTGATTGCTGTTACTAATTCGTGTGTAACCTCACCCACAGCAGATCACTTC